AAAAAAGTTGGGTTTATCCATAGTTCTGCTTTTGGTCAGCAGTAACAAATTTTCAAGGTTCATCTCCTTATACCTTAAGGAGTACACAGCATTATCATCAAGGGTCTTCTCCGTTCTTCTGTGTTTCTCTTTGTTTTGTTTACTGATCTTTCACAGAAAACCCTTGCAGTTGCCATCAAGTTCTCAGGCACATAACAGAATTTTGCCAAAGCTTATACTCTATGTTTTTCTCTTTTAAAAGCAATGAAAGATGTTTAACTGAATACAGTTGACATTTCTTTTATCTCATCAATCTATTATACACTTATAAATTCAGATTGAAAATAAAAAGTAGCTCCAAATAAACTTTATTATATTAGACTGTTTTTCTAACTCCTGTCCCATATTATCTCAAATACTGTTATTGCTTTCCCTTTAAATAGATACTTTTTCTTTGTGTTTTTAAAAACATTATTTGTATTTTGGAACCATCTCCCTTGCAACAGTGCTGTGAGTACTTGTATTATTATTTCATCCAGGCAAAAGAATGAAGGTAAGAGGAAAAGAAGTGGAAGGAATGTTGAAAGTTCAGCCAAGGCATTACCCAAGGTCCTATAGCGTAGTATATGCTTGTTGCAGTGATTTTGGGAGGAATAGAGGATTTTGTTTGTTATATTGGATTGTGACACTGCACCCACCATATGAGCCATTTTTAGCATTACTATTATTTTTCAGAGTTCACATATGCCCAAGTTTACACCCTGCAGTGATGAAAGCTCTGCCCAGCAAACGAAATACTAATTTTCAGTGGTGCTGAGGTCTGGAAAATACTAATGACTCCATCAAAAATGTGTATCTTTGGAAGTGGGACAAAGAGAGAAAAACCTTTTATGACATGGGAATTTATGTTTTCTGAGGGTGTTATTTTTGGCTATCGGTAGAATAATGGTTAGTTGCAATCTACTCACTATTTTTCAGTGGAGTGCACACAGTAGTGCTGTTTGATTTATCACTTTTCTGTGTTCCTAGCTGTTTGATATCTCTTTCTCAAGATTCCATATTTGTGAAACTGGAATACAGTACAGCAGTGGAAGGTAGCTGGTGAAGTTGAAGAGGACGCAGTATCGGTGACTAGCGGTCTCTCTCTCACCATTATAGTGGGATATCAAAGCATGCAGTCACAGCTCATGGCCTTTGCAGATTGTGGTGTGTTTTGAGTGGAGTGAGACATTCCAGTCTACACGTCATCAGATGGTTTTGGCAATGAATCTAAAACTAAGAAACAAGATGTGTAAGAAAGGTTACATTCACATGGTACCTCTAATTTTTGTCAGCCTTTAGTTCTTGTTTAAAATTGAACTTCAAGATTAGTTTTGGTTGGTTGTTTGGGTTTTTTCCTTTATTGAATGTGCCTTGTCCAAAATGTATAGCTTCCAAGTTTGTGGCAACAGGCCCATATTAAAATAGGTGGGAAGTTGCAGCAGCAGCACCTACAACACCCAGAGTGCAACTCACTGGCTTGATGCGACCCACAAGGGTGCTAGTGGGAAGTGCGTGCACCACACTTTTTAGCTACTGCCCACGGTATCTACTTTCTTTTGGCCGATGTCTGGAGGGGAAGCTGAGTGAGATGGACTTTCCCACCTACTCTACCACTCTAGCGGTTCCTGGCCTTTTATTTTTTTTACTTTAAACATCTGCATATATTTCAGCATGATAAATGCACACCCTAGAGATGCCTTTTCTATTCACTGACTGCAAGGACAGTCTCCATGTCTACATTAGATCAGAGAAATTCAAGAAACACTAAGAATTTTTTTCATGAGAGATCAGTGTTTGCTTTTTGGCAGATGGCAGTTCATTTTGAGAAAGCAGCAGCATATATTTATGCTGCAGATTTTCTTCAGGATTCAGGAAGGCTGGATTTACTTCTGTGAAAAGCTACCCTGTTTTTTAACTTGTGAGCAGGAAGCCATGCAGAAAGGGATTGAGCATTTTTATTTCCCTAAGCAGACTTCTTAGTTGACCCATGCATCTGCCAGCGGAGTGAGGGGCAGGAATGGTGTCTTCCTTGGAGGCTCCTCTCCAACACTGGCTGTACTCAGAGATATGCTCAGCTTCCCTCAGTAATCCCATGATATTTCTGTATTCCACAGTCCTGTCATCAAGGTCATATTTAAGTCTGAGCAGTGTCAGGAGAAAGCTCAGCACACCACACCATTTGTGATTTCTATGTTCATTAGTTTGCAACTAGACAGGTAGCTTTGTGTCTTTCATATAATTAGTGTTGTAAAGGTTATCAAGAACAATATTAATGAAAGTTAAATACCCCTTTTCATGGCAAAAGTTAGTTAATAAGTTAATCAAGAAATCAAGGAGTATAATAGAATTTGTAATTGAATCTCAGTGAGGTTCTGATTCCAAGCCCTGGTCTAACAAGATTTATTTAGATAAAGTAAGCTAAATTTGAAGTCTCATGTTTTGGGTGCTGGATTACCCCCTGGCATAAGAGCAGCCTTCAAAAGATAAATCTAAACTGTAACAAACAGAAAAGGTGTTTCCAGTGCAGGCTGGCAAACCTGGTTTTGCAAACAGTGAGCTATCAGCTTGAAGAGGCCAGGGTTGAATTTGAATTGCTTGCCTGAAGTCCGAGTCACATGGCTGTCACTGTTGTTCAGTCTACAATTACTCAACTTGTGTATTAGCCAAACTGAATGAAGACTGTGCTTTTTTTGCACTGTATGCATTACCTTATGTTGATGCTAGACCAGAAATAGTTAAGGCCCAAGAACACTGTATCTCACCTTCATTTCCTGAGACCAATGCCTTGTTCTGGTTGCTCAGGCAATATGCTGCTAGTTGCTAAGCTTTCTATATAACACCCGGAGCTGCTGCTTAATTTCCCCCAACAATTCTCCTGGCTTGGTTATGTTGACTGTAGGAACTATCTACAGAGAACTGCTGCTACTAAAATTTCTACCACTATCTACCTTTCTGTAGTGATCCAAGGCTTTCATGCCTGCATTAGTTTCTGTGATTAATTAATCTATCTTTCTAATACTTATGTAGTAAGGATAGAAGAGTGATAAACTACAGATAAAGGATGAAATGTTTTAATCTCTTTAATTAACAAAATATAGACTATCCAGGTACAAATATTATTCCTCTTCTCATCACTGGGAGTTCGACAAGACACGTAAATCCAAGAAAATATATCTCAGCTATAAATGAAGGTGCAGTTCTGTTAGTGTGTGGGTTTTTTCCTCTCCTGGTTTTAATAGCAGCTTCACATCATAATTAGAAGGATGAAATTCCTGCCAGCCACGAACATAGTTTGGACAGATTAAAGGATAGAGGTATGAGAAATGATAATTGCTTTGTGCTTGTCAGACTTGTATTGAAAATCTGACAGGATAATTGCAAAACACCTGCTTTGCAGAATGTCTAGGCAAATTTTTAAAGAGCTATTTAAAGTTGTTCGTTTACAATCTGTCTGAAAAGTTAAGTTTTTTCTCCCTTTTTGAAGTAGTTCATTACCATTTAGATTTGTGGTACATGTTCAAATATAGACCTTATTCTCATGTGCACGCCTGGCTGCATTCCACTGCCCACCCCCAAAGAAAATTGCCCATAATTTTTTGCATTACCTCGCACACTTCACCCACGTACTCACCCTTAACTTTCAGCAGAACGTTATTTCACCTGATGGAAACTGTAACCTGTTGCTTTCAACAGTCTGAATCATAGTTATAGATAAATTAATTGAGAGAGAAATTTTCCAGTGGACTGCACAAAAAACTCTGTTTTGACTCACAGTAGAAGTTTTACTTTCAGCACGTTTTCATGTCTTGTTACATGGCTTTTCTTCACCTGCTTTTGAAACTCGAAAATGACACGCACCAAACTGCCAATTTTCAAAGGATATTCTAGTCATTGGTGCCAAAATCCTACTGATTTTGCCGAGAACTGAAAGACCCTGAAAGCCTGACTTTCTACTACAGTTCACCATATGAGGTCATTTGGATCACAGGGGCACAGATACCTGCAGAAAGGCAACAGAATTGCTCTAGGCACCTGGTAAGCAGGGCTAGAGTTAGTGCAGGCTTTTGGGGGAAGAATGAAGAGACCTTGGTGGACTCGTAACAGATGCAGTAGAGCCCACTAATGCCAGTTGTGACAAGTTCTTGCAATTCAGTGAGTCATCCAGAATCATTATTCTGTACAGCTGAACAGGGATGACCAATCTCCTAGCTACAAGAGCTGCATTTCCCTGTATGGAGGTACTTACTGTAAGCAATATTTCATGATCCCCTGCCTTATTGGATCATGCAGCACACAGAACAGCTAACCAGCATGTACCTACCATGGGTTTAGTGCTTTCTAGAACTGTCAGCATTTACACATCAGCTAAGTAGTTCATGTATCCACATGGTAAATTACTATTTTCTGCTCACCTCTCAGGAAGAGGTAATTGGAATTTGCAAAATTGCTTTTCAAAAATCTTGTATTTACTCTCAGATGCCTTCAGACATGACCAGTGAGTAGCCTGCAAACTGACCAGCTGGTTCTGGCAGCCAGGGCAGACTTTGAGTAACAACCATTCCTAGAGATGCCAAGACTGTTATGAAACCACATGTACGCATTTCATGTGACAGGGACACCTGGATTTTGGTTATGTCAGGGAACAGGATGTGCAGACCCCAGAAAGGATGACCATAGATGAACTCCTTTGCTATAGGTACCTGTAGTCGACTAACTGGTGTATTTACATGATTTCCCAAAGTGACGCTTTCGGCCCATAACTATAGGGTTAATTATTGTAATATTTAAAGCTTACAGTTTGCATTTTTATATAAAGATAAAAGAATAAATTAAGTGCTGGTTGTATAATTAATTTGATACCATGTTCCTTGGTACATTTAATTACATGTTTCACAAGAAATGCACAGTTCAGATTGTACAACAGAGCATTTTTTTATAGAACTCTAATTTCTGTCTTGATTTTTTTTTTCTTTGAACAGTTTATGAAGAACCAGAAGACCCCAGTAACAGATCATTTTTTTCAGAAATTATCTCTTCAGTGTCAGATGTCAAATTCAGTCACAGTGGTAGATACATGCTAACAAGAGATTACCTCACTGTCAAAGTTTGGGATCTGAACATGGAAACAAAGCCGGTAGAAACGTACCAGGTAGGTATCTCCTGTGTCTTGAAATGCAGCAGTATAAAAGCAACTCACAGTTCAAAAACTGAATGTTTCCCTGAACTTCTGATTGCTTGGTCTGAGAAGCAGCTAGCTAAGAGAGCTGCTAATCAAGGTGGTTAAAATCCTCACAGTGGCATTCTTGTAGCTGGAAAAGGGCAATTTCAGCATTAGTAAGGAAGTGTAAGGCCTTGGGCGTCAGGGATTCTGTGGATTAGATTCTTGAAAGAAGCAATGCTTCTAACAAGAGAAATTATCTCTTCACTTTGGCATCTGTTTTCCAATGATATATTTCACTATTAACATTTAAAAGAAACTGAGGAAGGAAACTGATGTGTGTTGCTTAGCATTCTGCTCCCACTGGGACTGCTGAGAGTTTACACCTTTGTAATTTCAGAACTTTTTTTTAAAACTTCATCTATGCATCTCTCCCTTGTGCCTAGTTGTAGAAGCGATCAGTGTTAAACCCTGACATCATCACTGACACTGCAGTTTGCAAAAAAAAAAAAACCCAGACAGACACATCTGGTTGCCTGAATTCATTGCGATATTATCCAGACAAAATGCCAGTGGCTCCAGCCAGCACTGAGTTTCTACTCTGACATCTGTTCTGTTTGGCAATAGAGGGCTCAGCTTACAATTTTTGACTCTGCCTTGAAGAAGGAAGATATGTCTGTGACACAGAAACTGCTTGTTATGGAAATGCAATGAGAAAAACTGTTAAGCTACCTACAGAAGAGTATGCAAAGTAGGAAAAATGTAATTCATCTGGTTCATACTGCTTACTTAAAGACAGTCCTGCAACAGTGCTGAAACAATCCCTTGTTTTCTGTGTCTTTATAACGGCAGGTGGGGTACAGTAGTTCACAGTAACTATAATTAAGATTGCTTTTCAAATAACATGTAATGAGAGTAGCGTGACTTGTCAAAACAACCAGAATTTTACATCAATAATGTTGGAGGTATTTATTAGCTAGTGTTTAGTAGACAAAGTGGGCCCCAGTGTTTTCTAATGCACCCATTACGTTTTGGTGGATACTCTTCAGTGTGCCTCCTGTTAGTATTGGGAAGTCTGAGCCTGTATACCTTTAAAACTACAGAATTGTTTTTGCTCTGAAAATGGCAGTACTTGTAATACTAAATGTGTTAGAAATGTTGATATGCTGTGAAAATGGAGTGGGAGGGTAAGGGCAAGACTGTGTTTTATATAACAGAATTGTATCTCAGATTTTGGAAACGTAGGTAATATGTTATTTTATACTTATGCTAATGGTGTAGGCAACCTTGTCCCTGGAGAGGAATAGCTGGTCAAGCCAACCTGTTTGTCTTGACTTTGACATCTGCTTTTTTTTGCTGATGTAGGTAGCAGTGCAACAAGCTGGTCACCTTTAAATCAGTCTGACACCCAACCGTGGGGCCAGTTAAAGAGTTACATAGTTATATTTCTCCATGTTCAGTTGGGAAAAAGGAGTATAATGTAAAATTTTCAGTACTGATTATTGCAATCAGAAGCTTATTAAAAAAAAAAAAAAAAACAAAAAAAAACAAACAAAAACCCAAACACAACAGCAGAACCCCTGCAAATATAATAGTGTTCTTGCTGCTTTATCTTAATCTGTGGATTGCCTTTCATTTTCAAATATTTATCCAGTACCTTGTGAAGACTATGTAGATGCATTGATGAATATTGCAGCCGAATAAAGGAGAATCTGGAACTCAGAGGCCTTAGGAAGCCAATAGCACAGGACTCCATAGGATTCACATGGTCCAGCTGCTCTGGACAACCTTTCATGTTTTTCAGCTGCAGAGAGAAGAAAATTCTGTTCTAAAGAAAAAGTGGTTTAAGTTACTCTTTTAAATAATTTGTCTTAACAGTATCTCTCTCATACATAAATCCCATATATAAACTTGGAAATCTCTCAAAAAGTTTTCTTGGTGGATCACCTGAAGGCAACCAATAAACCTAACATTTTCAGTTATGTATCCACATAATTAGGATTACATGTATTTCATTAAAAGATTAAAAGATACTCATTAAAAGATCAAATTTCTTGTTTCATCTGCTGCATGGTAGCCCCTTAGTGTCTGATTGTCAGACTCATGAAGACTGTCACAATAGGAGATTTCCCCACAGGATTGTAAGAAAGAGCAAAGTCTATAGCCGTACTGTTTCATTATCAGGTTACAATTTTAGTATCACAAGAAAAGTAGAATTTCTCATGCAAATTCTTTTTCTTACCATGCTGTAGCTAAAAGAATGCTATTGCATAGAGCAGCTGTTGCAGCCTTGCTGAAACACATTATCTGCTGACAGTGATTCAACATATTTTTCTCCTTTTTATGCTTCATATAAAAGAAAAAAGGGCAGAATTTGGTGCAATGGACAGCACTTAAAAAGCAATACAGTGGAATGACCAGTACTTGAGTGTTGTTGCAAGGTGGCCCTGCCTAGCAGGATACTTTTCTGATGCTGCCAGATGACTTATCCAAGCAGAACCATACTGGCAGAAACCAGAGGTGAACAAGCTGATAATAGCTTGATCCACTTTTGGAAGGATCTGTTGCATAGGGATTTGGACTACTGTGTCACTTACCAGTGCAATTCCTGGTTGTGACTATTCAGTCCCAGTGAAATAGTTCTCCACATAGTCATGTTGCTGCATTAGTTTGGAGCATGGAATTAACTAGATAATTCCATGAAGGTCTGACCTAAAACAGTGCAGTGAAGAAAATGAGAATACCTTTTGTAATTAGTTAGGAATGAATTTGGTTTGGATTCAAGTTTTATTCATATGTGGTAAAAAAAAAAAAGTAACAGACAAGGCAAACCTGATTTTAGCCTCAATTGGTAGTGGTATATGAACATGCAAACAAGGTGAAAATTAAGTGTTTCTTCCAGTTAGTTTTTTCACAATTACTCTGAGGGTCTGAATATGGTCAAATTAGGTAAACAGAGGGTCCACATGAAGAGCGAGCTGGTTGTCCATGGTAGTAGTGCAAGTCTGCAGACAGGCCAGAAAACAGGAGTTGAGACCTTGAAGAGATCAGTAAGAAATCTGAGAGAGGAACTGCAAAATGCTTTTTGTCAGAGCTGAGAGAAAGGTACAGCTCCAAGCTGTGGAGTTGGGCACACTTTACAAAGGGTGTATACATGACAGTGGTCATGACAGATGGCTGCTGGAAATGATAACAAGAGGAAGACCTAGAAATGACAATGAGGCAAATGTGATCTACTTCCTTCTGCCTTACCCAACCTTTCTGTTTCTTCTGAGTGTTGGGAGCTCATCAAAGGAAAGAACTCCAGTTCTGTAACAGGTTACACTGCTAACATTTACAGGCTTTAAGTAAAGAGAAAATGAAAGGATTTAATTACAGGAGGTGCAAGAAACTGCATCAGTACTAGAAGCGTTCTGACCTATTCATGAGGGTAAATTAATTTAATTGTGAAATGTTTTATCTGCATCTACCATTTGCCTGTTATTTGCTGTATAAGACATTATCAGTTGATATACAGCTCAGTGTTCACTCATCTATTAATGAAAATTGATCCATAACTAAAATTTATAATCCTTAATAACCTTACATTACAAATATTCTTAGGCTGCTGTACAATTTGGCTACTGAAAACGGGTTACTGTAAAGAAAATATGTGAAAGGTCATTGTCCCTTGTCTGGTCTTGATATAAGTTATCTTACTAGAAGAAATGTTTATGCCCTCAGGCCAGAGGAGGATGCTGAACATCCATGAGCAGGAACAGTCTCCCTGGACTTGCAAGAACCAGTACCTCTGTAAGACAGAGCTAAATTATGCCTCTCGGCTATTGGATTGGTATGTGTGCTCAGAGAGGCCATCTACACAGTTTTGTTTTACAGTTTCTAAAACAGGATTTAAAAATGTCAGGAGTGAGAGTGCATTAGTAAATTCCTCCAGGCAGGGATTTTCTAGCTCATTATTTCCTTGCGGAATGAACCCAATCATCCAGAAGGAAAACTAATCAAATTCAGCAAAGGATTGAAACAGTTTGCATGAGATCTATCTCTTTATGATAACCTTTGATCAGCAGAGATGTGTGGCCCAGAGGAGAGGTCTTCTGCTGGTTAGTCCCACTTTTCAAGTATGTAAGTGAGAATTTACAACGTTCTTTTTAAGTCTCAGCCAAATAGGAGATATCCTTGGGCTAAATTAGTGTTCCAATTTCCAGCCTGTGAAACTATAGCCTTGTACTGTATTTGGCTTCTGAAATACCTTACCCAAATATATGTAATACCATACCCTACAGGTTCTTTTAATAGAGCCAAGTTCTTGCTGCCACAAGTTGAGAGTCCACTTACCTTGGAATATGACATTTTTGTTACTATTTAAATTAGATTTCTTGCACATTAATTAGCACATCTAGGGTATCAGCTGGTGAAATGTCTTTGGGAATTAGGCTAGCACTGAGAAAATCACCCAAGCAGGAAACAAATATGTTGAAGAGGGGTGGTCTGCAGCCTGCTGAGGGAGGTATGCTTCATGCCTTCCTGCAACAATAATTCAGTAGCACCTGGTTAATTGGGTTGTGGAAAAATACAGATAGCTTCTTTAGTGTTTAAACACATCTTCTGCAAAGCTACCAATCTGTGCAGCATATTTTGAAAGTGAATGTGGGAGATAAAGCAGAGAACGGGGGGCTGGTTGTGGAGTTTTGTTTTATTTCAACAATAACAATAGTTATTTTCTTTGAAACAGGTCCATGATTACCTTAGGAGCAAGTTGTGTTCCCTCTATGAAAATGACTGCATCTTTGACAAGTTTGAATGTGCATGGAATGGATCAGACAGGTAACCCCTCCGTATGTCCATCACTGTCTTCATTTAGCAAAAGAGATCCCTTATGATGGAAAACAAGTGTTACACGTGATTATTTTCCACATCAGTTTACATATTCACATACATGTTCGGATTGATAAAAAGTGTTTGGTGCAGTTGTGTCTCTGACCTCCTTTGACATGGTGTATACTTTGTTAATCTTGTCTCATGCCTTGGGGGAAGAAAAACCCTTCAAATTCTGTCCATTTTCACCAAAATCATAAGTAGGCTGCAAAAGTTAAAAAGAATGCTGCCAACTCACACAGCCCCACCAACACACTAAGGAAGCTTGTGTGATCCTGTATTTACATATGAGCTGCCTCAGAAATTAATTTAATTTACTGGAAAAGGGGAGCGAGGAAAGGCAGTCACAGGCATCCACTGATTCTCTGCAAACTGGTGCCAAATGAGAGTTTCTTCTGATCCCTACCTCCATCAGAGCAGTCCCCTTCCCTGTGCACTGAAGGAGAGGTCCTTGTTTTTATCTTTGGACATAGTATCTTGTTGAATATTTTAATGAGAAATATTGACACCACAAGCCAGAGAGTGCAAGCGAGGATGCAATGTGCTAATGCCATAATGTTAGCAAATGGTGGCAGTGCTCTGGGGAGTAGGAATATTGTGCAGGAATAACTGAGCAGGTGAGAGGACTGGGATAATAAAAATGCATTCTATCCAAGAGTATAATGCAAGGTGAGTTAAAACACAAACCTTCATCTTATCAGTTGGAAACAACTCACAGGGACATTTATATTCTCGGTGACTGTGGAAGGGATTGGCAGACTACAAAATGCATGTGAAAGAGAGCACAGGAGCCAGTTTTGAATGGCACACAGTGACTCCTGGCTCAGCAAAGCTGTGAGCCAAGAGGCAAAAGTTTGGCATTCGTTGAGAGCCTGGAACTGTGACTTCAGCTCACTTAGCCTCTCACTTGGGAAAAACGGTCCATCTCCTTGTATTTGAAGCCAGACTGCCTCCCTGGACTGGGCAATGAAACAGTGTGGGGCAGCTGTCAGAAAGGCAAATGTGATCCTTGAATGGGCAAGACTGGGATATCCAGCAGAGAAAGGAGTAGTGGTGACATTATGTTAGGGTCTTATTCAAAGACGTTTGGACTGCAGTTCCACATTTCTTGTCCTTCATCTCAAAGGTGGATGAACAGATAACTGGGCAAATGGACAGCTGCTTTAAAGACAGGACAGGGCAGGAGTTTGGTTTTGATCAGCTTGACAAAAAAGAAGCCAAGGTTATACTTGCTTCTAGTAAGTATATGAAGGATGTGTACATAGGGAGGAAGAGCATCTAGCTAGGATGGATGTGAATGATAATAACACAACAGCAAAGAGGTATTGAGTGACAACAGGTAATTATAGCCTGAAAATTCATAGTTTATACCTGTCGCCAGACAGTGACAGTGTGGAGCAGTCTTCCTGTCCTGAGTAGTAGAGTTGTAAGAAGCTAAATTGTTTTGATAATGGTGCTCAAGAAATTTGTGAAGACAGTTATATGAAACATCAGTTAAAGTGACAAGCACTTCTGAACTTGGAAGTGCAGAACAAGGTCTCTTCCAGTACCGTGTTTCACAAATGCAGATAAAGTGTAACGCCATGCACTGTACAGGGGGCATCTTCTCTTTAGACTACTTTCCTCTGCTCAGTTCTGTACCTGCCCAATGGAGAGATTCTATCTTTACTAAGACATAAAACTTTTACCTTGTATCATTTATTATGTAAACGAAACGATATACTTCCATTATCTGTCGTCTGCATTCTAGGTCAATGTGTTTTCTGACAGGCATTAACTCAGCATTGTGTATCCTCTCTGATACAAACTGCTGGCTATTAAAAATAACATAGGTGGACCACACTGGGCAAAATACTTCCCAGATTGCTGTGACTGCAACTTAGGCACAAACTGTTTGGAAATGGCTCTGATATGGTCAGAAAGTGGGAATGACCCACAGAAATTTTAGGGGAAGATCCAGGTTTTGGGGCTTTTCTCTGAACCTTCCAAATTCACGCATGAATGGATGTTTTAACAGAAGGCTGATCGGTAGACTGGTTACTACTTGAGTTTGGTCCTACTAGAAATACTAAAATTAAAGCATTTCTTGGAAATACGGACAGTGCTGATCCCTGCCTAAATCTGGCACAGAACAACAGCGCAATCAAATAATTCAGACACTGTGAAACTTTGACAAAGATTTAGGGCTTTTCAGGTCCTTTCAAACCATTTTGCTTATCCTTGATGGGAATTCCCAGTGCACTGTACAGGATGGACAGCCACTTCTTCTCAGGCCCAGAGTCCTTTCTCCTGTAGTCAGATGAAGTGCTGCCATCCTTGTTAATGTGGTAAAACTGCTCTCTGGATAGTTGCCTGGTAATAATAGAAATATTATTCAATATCAGGATTTAAAGTGAGTGTAATATTTTTGTTCCTACTTGACAGATCAGAAAGATCAATGCATTAAGTAATTATTAACTGGGAACATTAGGTTGTGAGGGCTTCATTTATTGTACTGCCCAGACACTGAGGCGTTGTTAGTCATGCACAATTACCAAATCTGTCACTAAACACAATACGCTGCTCTTGATTGTAAGAAACTGTTGAGTAGAGTAGCTGGCAACATTTGACAAAAGATAAGGGATCTCTTTAATTTAGTTGTTCCTTTTTAAGAGACAAATATATTAGCCCTGATACTCATCTTTTGATGAACAATCACTCTTCTGAGCTTCTTGCTTCTGTGTATGACAAGTATTGTTTTGCTACACACTACAGTGATTAATTTTTTTTGGTGGATTATAATTTAAATTATATTTAGGTACCAGTAACCCTTAAAGAAGAGTTCATTTTAATAGTAAGGTCACTTAATTTGATCCTTTTGGTATGTATTTTTTAAAAAAGTACTACTGCTAAAGGTAAGCAGTGCGTATTAACAATGATACTCTTAAGAGATGCTGCAGTACAGTACTTAATACATATACATAACAAGCAACTGCAGTTCTAAACATGTTATTTTTATTTTTTGCAGACTTTAAAACTACAATGATAATTTAAAGTGGCAGGATTGTTCAGTTAAAAATAAAAGCATGTTTATTATTTAGGTGAAAATATTTTTCATTAACTTTTGCATTACTAAGAAGTTAATCTAGGCTGTGATAGAACCTGATGGTGAGGCTGTTTACAAAAAAAAAATCAATGTACGTGATCTCTGATTAGAACGTGATTGATGCTCAGTTACTCCAATGAACAGGAACTAATATGATCAGACAGAGCTGATCTCATTTGCTGAAGGGCACATTAATCACTATGTACTTTGGCAACAACAGTGGTCAGGGGAGGGAGTCAAGCAGGGGTCTTACACTAATTCAACCAGATGAGCACATATTATCTGTAGTTGAGTATATTACACTAAAATCATGTGATCTTTATTGTATATACATCATTACATGACTATGTAGAGTATGTGAGCTCTATTTATAAAGCAGTTTAATTTAGTTCTTCCATTCACTTCCAAAGTCAAGTCTTTTAATAATGACCTGCATGACACTGTTATCTTCCCATTGTCAGCCAAACTCATTTTGTTATTTCAGTTGTACCTCAAAAATTAGCACTTTTGCAACTGTTTGTGAGTTACAGAAGCCAATAAGAGAAAAAAAATAATATAGTAATTCTGCATGGTAGTAAGTGGACACCTTAATTACTATTCTTTTTTTTTAAGATTTCAAATAAATGGGTGTATGGGAACCCTTCCAGGGGGACTTCTGAACACCATCATGATAAGTGATATATTGTAAGCAGATGAATGAAGTCACATATAACTGTTCAGTCAGTCCTTTCCTACTGAACTGTCATTCATCCCACTGAATATCCATCAGCCTTCACTCTAATCAGGTAGAATTGGCAGGTCCCAGTGAATGAGATGTTACAGTCTATTCCTGTCTGGCAGCATGTCAAATATTAGGTTGGATGGACTTGGGGATCCCCTATTCTTATTCCCAGTCTTATCCCAGCCAGCTGTACTGAAGTGCCACATCCCTGAATATGATGTCTCCAGTTTTCCATCAGCATACTCAACAGGAGGTTTAAAGAAGTTCCCTCTTTGTGATGGGGAGTCTGTTGTTTTACAAAGGCAGCGTAAAGAAAAATTCCCCAAAATGCCAGCAGACCCCACTGCTTGCAACAGTACTTCCTTCTTTCCCTTTGTTGTAACAATGAAAAATGTTTTTGAAGAGTTTTCCTGGAACCAATCCTTTCTTCTCATAAGGTCAGCTTGTCATGGAACCAAGTCTGGTGGACCTTGCGTGTCAATCCCAGGAGACTACACATGTGCTGGTCTGCACTGGTACACATGGTAGTGAAATCTCGCAGATTGCACACATGGTTGCATGCAAACCCCTTTTATACAGCCCTTGGCAAGAATAAAAATAGTCAACCAGCAGTGCTTTTTCTTCCCTGCAACCCATGGTAAGCTGGTATATGATGAACCGAGCCCTGCAGATCTCACAGCATCCTGACATCTCTGGTGCCACAACCTGCATTACCAAATTCCTGCCAGATTCAAGAACACAGGAACCGGTCATTTGTATGTGATGAAAGAGAAGACCTGCCCACCAGCTCATTTCTCCAGCTTTCAGCCTGGAGAAGGCAAGGATGGAAGCCCCTTGAGAGCTGAGCAAGTTGTCTGTGAGAGTAAGCAAGACTGGAAATAGTGGGAGATCATAAAGAAAGGGTGAGCAGTAACACCTTCAAAAGTAAAATGAAGAGATGAGGAGTGGAAAAAAGGAACAGAATGGAAATGACAAAATGAGACAATGGAGCAGGGAACAGAGAGTCAAGCTAAGGAGGATACTTCACTGGCAGGAGAGAGAAAAGCAGATAAGGTGTTTTTAAAAATTATAGAGCAGGATAGAGGGAAACAAGGGAAGGGGAGAAGGAAGAGGGGGTAAAGGAAAACCTACCTGGAAAGTGTGGTAAAGACCAGAGTCAGAATTGGAGGGGAAGAGATTAAAAAGGACAGAATGGCAACTAGGGAGTGAATAAGAAGGAAAGTCAGTTAATAGAAGGAGTATTGGTCTGCACTGAGGTTTTCTCCATCCCCTTTTACCTTCTGTAGGAATAAATTTGTCTTGCTTGTAAAGGAAAAAAAAAAGGGCAAGACTTTGGTCCATAGTGACCCTGCATGAGGACTGAAGTTTGGCAGTGAGATGTCTCAGACTGCATCATTGATAAGCAGGAATGCCCCAGTGTCAGTCGGCAGGCCGGACAAATTAGTAGCATTTTGTGTTGTCACTCAAAACATGCATACCTGAAGAATTGCCAGAAACCCTCAGACCTTGCTTGGAGCAGCATTAAAAGAGGAAGCACAGAGTACTCCATGTGCTCTGCAGAGCAGCGCCATGCGGGGAGGAAAGTGTGTTCCGCTGGGCAGCACAGGAGGGTTAGTGTGGGGCTGTGCGAATCCGTCCGGGGCCCTGCAGATGTGGGGTGTTGCCTCTCCTTCCAGAGCACCAGCTAGGCTGCTGATCCTGAAATGAAGGCAGCAGTAGTCGTGTCGCTGCCATTGGGGTTTTTTCCTGCTCTTTTTGCCTATTTAAAAATGATTATAACTTCTAATCATGCTGCCTGTAGCTGTGGTGGTTTGAACTGGGTACAGTCTATCTAGCTTTGCTCCAGCCTGAGCTAGCTGAACACTGCTCCTCAGGGGGCTCGCGAGTGTGTGCACTGGAGTTCTAAATACCCCCGCATGGCTGAGATAATGGTACCTCTGACCACGTGTAAGCACAACTTGTAAACCTGCTTTCTGAATAAAATTAAAGGTGGTTAGGCAGAGCTTTTGTGGGCTGCTAACTTACACACCTGTGAATTAGTGTGGGGTGTTTTGGGTGAGGGGCTTGCTTTGGTTTCTTGAACCAGCCTCACTTGCAAGGGTTTTATGCAGGCACTTGTCCTAACACTGCTGTGCAGAGCAGAGTCTGGAAATACAGAACAGCTACAATTTTTATTCTAATATAGATGTATAAAAATTCTCCTTACCGCATACATTCCATTATTGTACATTATATTTTCCTGAACAGGAATAAATTGCAGGCTTATATCTAGTTCTCACTCTCTTTTATTGTTATTTTAAGCAGCAGGTAAGGTTATAATCCATCTGTGTTTGTGACCTTGAACAAGAATGGGCACTTTCTCATTTACATAATGCTATATTTTACTGAGCCATTAAACTGCAGAAAAACAGGACCAGCATGAAAAGTAGTCATCTACATATGTTAAAAAAAATAACTGCAGTAAATCCAACTGAACAAAGCAGACTTTTAAAAATATGCGAGAGTTCAAGAAATTAAAAAGCAAATGGACTGTAAAGGCAGTTTTGCTGCAAGCAAAACCTCCTAAAATAAGATTTCTCGACAAACACCTCTCTGTGCATTTGGTGCACTGGTATTGTGCCTGCATGAAAACTGCTCCCCTGACAGTTCCTGCCCTCTTCAGGAGGGATGCTCCTCATTCCCCTGGGAACCACGGCTTTGCAGCCCATGGCACAGGGTGCCCCAGCGTTATGAACCTGTTTCAAAATTCTGCCTGGGGAGGGAAAAAGCACAGCACTGTGCTGGGCTGTTTGCATCACAAATTGTGTATGCTAGTGCTGAGATATGAAATAGCCTCGACTTTTTCATGTTGTGAATAACCATTACAGCAGGAGCTGTAATGACAAGACACGGTGATTTGGAAGGAGTGAAACATTAGATTTACTGCTGTTGATTCAATTTCTGAAATGGGCACTAATCTTGATCAATAGGCTTTCTGCAGCTTCTGGGATACGTTTTATCAACCTGTCACACTGACTCTTGTTTTTTGAGTTTATGAGATTGTTAATTTGTGCCTTACTAAGCAGGATTGCACCAGGCCTCTGTGGGTGGGGAAGGTAGGGGAAACCTCACTGCAGACAACCCAAGGGCAGGTACTGCTTCTGGAGAGCTGTGAGGCAGCTCCCTGCCAGGGCTGGCTGTAGCTATGTATGGAAAAGTGCCCCTGTTGCCCATCCCCAAACTCAGCAGCACAGCAGCGGTGCAGCTGGTGGTGTGGTGCCTGCAGACCTCAGGAAAGCAGCCTCTCGACAGGGTGAAGGCTGTGAGCTGTTGCTGAGGCAGCGCACGCTGTCTCTGTACTACGCCTGTCTGATTTGCAGCAGTTTCCTTTAGCACTTCAGGAGCTGCAAAAAGCTGAGTGTGGAATCAGCTGTCATCAAACTCCAGTATGTCATCAGAAAACATGGAAGCAGAATGGAGCTGGCAGTCGTGCTGGTGATTCACAGTGTACAAATCCAGGTCACCCGCCCTAGTTACCCTGTAGCGGCTCAGAAGCGAGTGGAGCTACTGTCACTCCACAGCTGTAGTGCAAAAGCAGTTAGCCGTACAGCTCCCATTTGTGCTTTTCTCAGTGTATTATTTATTTGTATTGCAGTACCTCCTAATGGCCCCAAATGAGATCAAGGCAACACTGGCTGGAGGCTGTGCACATAGTGTAAGACAGCTCCTGAATCCAGGAGCATCTAATCTAATCAACTAGTGAGCATCTGTAGTGAGAGTATAGTTTATGCCTTTGAATTCTCCCAGTTGCACATGTCCTGGTCTCCTGGGCAGTATGCTGCTCAACACAGATTCCCCCCAAGTGGGAAACACCAGCAAAGTGCTAAAGCAGCTGTCATTTGAGATGGAGGTTAGTTTAGTAAATGCGAAGCCCATGAAATATGCTCTGCTGGGCTGTACTAGAAAGGCAAATAATTCCTGATTGCCTGATCTTAGAACTGTGTAGCTCTTCCTGTGGAGACCTGACTTTTTGGGGTGGATTCCCCTCCAGCATGGCAATTTAGAAAGAAGACACTATTTGTGGCCAAGACAGGAGAGTAGCGCATGGCCCTGGCTTCACATATGGAAAAAGTTCACAGGGGATGAGCTTTCAAACAAGGTTCTGAAACCCATGATTATGCTAATCCAATAACCTGAGGGCCATGGATGAAATCCTGAATTCATTAAAGTTAGTGACAAAATATCCTCCCCTAGGGACTGGGGGAATGAAGCAACTGGCAATCCATTATTTCAAACTACAAGCTGATTAATGGGGTAATTTTTATACAGATTGAGGTTTGTTTTCTGTCCCTTTCTCCCAGACCCAGATACATATCCTGTCTTGAAGCTTCATTCAGACTTCATACAAAAGATGACAGAATCCTGTCTATCAATGTGTTTATTACTAAGAAGCATTGTAGATACAAAGTTTAATGGTGTCTAGACACTTGCAAAGGTCTATGGCTTCAGAAGGCAAAAGGGTTTATTCTGGAAATAATTCACTTGTGCAAAGTCAGTGTGATTTTTCAGAACCTTTCAAAACACATTTCTTCCAAATACTCATTAAAATACATAATTGGAAATTTTTTTTGAGGACTGTTTCTGACATCATGGTAAATCTCAGCTGTCAGAAAAGGTAAAGCTCTTGAGGAAGAAAGAAGCCTGAAATATACGATCCTTAAATGCTCATAAAAAACTGGAGGGTAATTAAAAATAGCTTATTAAATCATATTACTTTTATGAGTCAATTTCATGGTGTCAGGGTCCTGACACTTGTGCATGCTTCAGGATGCGATTTTTGGGTAATTTTCACTGAATACTCTAGTAAGGAAAGGGAAGATATTGGTGAAACAAATTTATTCGCACTGGGTAGTACTAGGAAAGATCCTGGTTTATTTTCTTTTCCAGCTGAAACCAGAAAACATCTTATGCTAAGGTTAAAGCTCAGCTGTCCTGATCCAGTCACATTAGTAGACTGCCCACAAGCTCCTGCTTAACTGTCCTTGTTTTTCTTTGTTTCTCTCTGCAGTGTGATAATGACAGGTGCATATAACAACTTTTTTCGAATGTTTGACCGAAATACCAAACGGGATGTTACCTTGGAGGCATCCCGGGAGAGCAGTAAACCACGAGCTATTCTTAAGCCCCGGAGAGTCTGTGTTGGAGGCAAACGGAGGAAAGATGACATCAGCGTCGACAGTTTGGACTTTACTAAGAAGATCTTGCACACAGCGTGGCACCCAACTGAGAACATCATTGCTATAGCAGCGACAAACAATCTGTACATATTTCAGGATAAAGTGAACTCAGAAATGCACTAGATTTATCAATATCCCTCTATATTTACAAACCAGCCTCTGGAGAGTTGTAGAAGGATGTGATCTTCACAAAAATTGTGGCTTCTGTGGTGGGATTTGTAGGTTGCATCCTTTCATCCCTCAGCCTGTATCATTATTGGTGGCAAGCCAACTATTTTCCATCACTGCAACTGTATGAGTAAAAGGCACGACTGCAAATCCAGTACTGTGGTCTGTATTGGTTCCTTTAAACAAACAGGGGTATTTATTCACTTTGGGAGTGTCCCTGAGGAGGGCTGAGACTCCTCAGCTCCTGTCAGTCCTTTCAAGTGTCTCAGTGGTTCACAGGACCAGGCTGTTCTGGTGCCCTGCCTGCTTTTGCAGTCCACAGCATTTACCACATTGTTAGAGATTTTTGTCTCAATCTCTTGATTTTTTAGATTTTTTTTTTTTTTTTCAGTAACATTTTCCTCTCTTTCAACTAAGCCAGGCCTCTTCGAGTGAATGAATAGCCACATCCCTTTAGAGCACGTGGCGTGTTGGAGGGGCCTCATGACAATTGTAAGTGGAAGCAGAATCCCTGCTGGTGAAAAGCTGCCCTGTCTCACCTATCCCGTTCCCCTCTTTACAACACCCTCTTATTTATTTATTTATTCACATTACTTTGTGCTTCAGCTTCCCAAGTGAATAAGTGACAGACTGGTATAGTTAATCAGCCAGCTTATTTTAAGAAGTTTATTCTCTATAGATCTCTTTGCTCTGTTTAAAACAGTAACTAGTATCTTCATCACATGGAGGACTATTAAAAAAACTTGGTATTGCCACTCCAGAGGGACTGGCTGGTCAAACACAGCCTGGCAGTTTACACACAAACCCATCCCACTGTTTGGGGGTTGGTGTTCTGGAAACCTTGCCTAGAAGTGCTGTCCTTGAAAGCTACCATCGACTTCAGTGGGAACAAAGTTACATCACTGCTAGACACTACAGAAAGTCGTTTGTTTATTGCAACATGGTTATTTTAATCCTGGCCTTTGGGGAATACAGGCAATGCCATGGTATCTGTAACTGTAAAAGGAATGGTACTGCGAGATGCAGCACTGCTCAGTGAAGTTTAATGCTTTTAAATGAGTCCACTGCTGGGAGGCAAAATTAATTCCTGGAGAAATATAAAAAATCAAAAACTCCAAACCAAATAAAAATTTCTTCCATAAATACCGTTAGATCTATCTCTGTTTTAAAATGAATAGTGATGTAAAAGTATCCGCAATTGTTACAGCGCATGCAGGAATTATATGGGAATGGTGCAGTGGGCAGAGTCCGCTTAATCCAGGAGAAGAAAGTTCTGCTGCATCCCTAATAGCTCTGACAGAAAAAGTATCCCAAAGGATTCCTCCTCAAACCATGAATAAAAGAGCACAACTCAGATGACCTGTTAATCTGCTCATATTAAAACTCCTCAGAAAAAAAAAAGGTCTTTAAGTCATTATGCACTGATTCTTGGTAAGTGGAGAATGTACTGATGAAGGGATCTGCATGCTTTTATACTTTGGTTTGGGGGAAAGGGTGGGTGAAAAATCTGCTTACAAGAACTTTAAAAGTCTACAGCTTTTATATGACATCTTAACACAACACATGAAATCTGTATGTTTGAAGTTTTCTAGATCAATGCTGTATATTTTGTGTGTAGAAGCACAAACGCATGTGCATCAGTTTCCAGCCACACTAAACACATAAGGTATGAAATGTGTAGGTTAATTTTAAAGGGAATGAGGAATGTTTGTTTATAAAATACTGTATGCTGTAGCAGGCACGGACAGTATATGTACATATTTATTTTAATGAAATTTAACAAAAATGTTTTTTTTTTTTCCCCTTGTAAAAAGGTTTAAGAATGTGGTAAATTGTATAGAAAACTTGTTAATGCCAAACTACTGAAAAAAAAAAAAAAAAAAAAAAAAAAAAAAAAGGCTATCAGCTCATATTGGCAATTACAGCTAGAAGTACTGTAGAACATATATTTAGCTTTTAACATTCGCAAGTAAGATTCTATAGATAACTTATTATAAAGCAGATCTTAATACAACAATTTTTGGTTTTTAATTTGAAGTACCTTACTCCGTTACAGCTTTGGGTACCAAAAAGAACATGTTAAAATTAAATAAAGAAATATATCTTTGGAGCTTTATAAAACTAATTAAATACCCAACCAAAATACCATGAAGTGATTATAGAGGAAATAAATAGAAACCTTTCAAAGACCAGTATTCCGTTCCTGTCTTTGACATCATTACTACAGATCGGTTTCCTGGTTTCTTGAATGTATGGAAAGTTAACATCGTCGTTGTGAACATTTCCAACTTTCTTTCTCTCTTTAGTTTGAGCTTTCAGTGGTGTAGAGTAAGTGATGGTAAAGTTGGTAAATCTGATTGATTGTTTTGAAAGCTGTTGTTCATGGCTGCATTCTTTGTGTTGCACAAATTAGTTAACTGTTGTTGAATAAAAATATAAATATGTTAATACCAGCTTTTTCAATAAAACTATAAACAAAAAGGCATAAATAGATTACTTCAAGGCACAGCTTATTTTTAAGCTAGACATGAAAGAGTTGTTTAGCTCCTTTTACAAAGGAGGAAGAGTCACAGAGATAGGGACTCACAGGGCAAGCTACGACACAAACTTGAAGTGTTGTGGCAGGTAAGTAAGTAAACACAGTGCCGTGAGTGGGACTGACTTGGGGGTTTAGCATGACAAAGAGTGTGTGCAGTTACAGCAGAGCTGGAGATACTCTTCTGGTTCATATCTTGGACCACCTTTTTTCCTCTGCTCATAGCCCAAGATAGACTTTAGGAGATTTGAGTCTGTCTCCTCCAGATGGAATAAGAGACATGCACAATGAGAAGGGACACACTCACAGTTGGCATTAGTGTCATCACTGGCCAGGTTTGAGACCTCCCAATGCAGTGAACCATGAGGGATGTCTGGGATGTGTCCAGGCCTGGCCTCCCAAGTGAGACAGGCTTTGACCCAGGTGACAAACCAGAGGGCTACCAGCAGAGCAGCATCCCTCTTTCCCCCCATGGCTCTCTTTCTACCTCTACCCCAGGGGAAAATTAAAAAACAAAGAAAGAAGAAAAAAAGAATACTAGCATGGCATACACGCTTAAAGCTAGGAAAACATTCACTTCCCAGTCCAAACTGATGCCTGTCCTCCCCACTCATCGTGATGCTTGCCCCAGATTTGGGCTTTTCTTTTGAATCTCAGTCTAAGGCAGCTGATGCTGCCTGCATGTTCTATTTGAGCCCTGGGCTGTGAGAAACCGCCCGGCCGTCAGCACACGCGCGTTACACGCTGAAAGGCTAAGTCCTTTTTCTGGATGCAGACCAGAATAAATTTGCCTCAGCTGTTAGATTAGGCAGTGTGTTGCTTTGCACAGCTCTCCCAGAGCTTACATGCTAATTTTTTTCCCTCCTTTTTTTTTGGGAAGACACAGTCAATCCCACTCATTTAGATGGACAAATATGACTGGGCACTGAAGAGAGAAATCTCAGCTGAAAATCAACACATCAAGCAATACACTATTTACCTTTCCAGTTTCCCTTTTCATCCCTAAATACCCAGTAGGAGCAGGAGCCAGATGGCTAGCTCTCATCCTTTTGAAATTTTCACACGCATATTTAGTAGCTGCATACGGCAATTTAACCCTTTATGGTTGAGGGGGATACTGGCATGAGCCACCTGCTCCTGTTTGCAGCCAGCAAGTCATTTTGCTTTCAGGCAGAGTTAAGTCCTTTGGAGCCTTCCAAGGTTGTGTTTATTAATCCCTGATGAGAGGGCAAGTATAAGGACTGTTTGCCTTCTATGTCCAATTTTCAGTAACATTGTCATCAGTTTGCTCCCACTCCCAATAGTAATCCTCTTCCATTTGCAGTCTTCTCAGCAGATTACATTAAGTCCAAAATTAGAGCATGAATTCACTTATCTTGCTCATGTGGTAGAACCTCAGAAGGCAACAGGATTACTGGATTGGGTAAGATTCAAAAATTTGGGTTTAATTTTATAAGATGCCTGGGATGGGGTATGTTTCTCTGTTTTTGTGAAGCCATGAAATGGTCTTGATATTCTGTACAGGACAGTTTGCCATGCACACTGGAGAGGTTTGCTTTCAGAGTGCACCACGAGAAAGTTTTTCTTAGAAGTGATTTTTTTTTTTTTTATCTTCTCTCTGAAGTTGGATGAGTATCAAACTTTTATTCATGTGAAAGTGAGCACAACTCTTGACGCAGTTAGTGATCCGCAATCTGCCCCATGATGCAAAGCATTTCATGTGAAGTACCTGACTGAGAAAACTCCTCAGTTCCCTCATCTATAAAAGCTGCCATGAACATGGATCAGCCAGGCAAGGTACAGCTAATCAGCTGTCTTACCATTTGCTAAGTGAAAACACTCAATGGGTAGGACAAGATCCTTAAACCAACAATTGCATTAAACAATTATTTTAATTATCATGGTGATGCTCTATTTTCTTTTTGTAACATGGCCACTAAAAAGAATAAAACCGACAAAAATGACTCTATCAAAGGATGCAGGGTGGTTTTCTGGACACTCCATGTTTTAAAACTAGTACTAATCATACTAGTAGCATGTGCATGTCCCATGCAGCAGCCTGATCCAAGATATTGCAACAGATTCTCAAGCAGATTAAATACAAGACCAACTGGTAATAAACTGACTCTGCTCCAGAGAGAAGAGTATTCAGAGACCTCCATAAAGCTCTTCACCACCTCCTGTGGCTTCATCATAATTTCTCTAACAGGAGGAACAACTCTGGGAAAAAATACACTGCAAATGACAAATAATAAGTAATTGAAACTGGAGTTAGGGTGTCAGATTGAAGTAAAGAGGTTGGTATTCTTCTGTGCTCTACCTATAAAATAAATGCTGCCCAAGCAGGAAACCGGGGTGAGACCTCACTGCAAATAACTTGTGCCAACATCCCAGTGCCAGCAGGTTCTCACTTTCATTTCTCCTTGGCCAGGCTTGAACACCCCCAACAGCTCTGCTAGGTGTCCTGGGCCAGGCTCCTTCTCTCTTCAGTGGGAAGATGCAGAAGGAAGCAGAGGTTTCCCTCAGATAGGGGAGATACTGGCAGAGTGGTCTGTTTGTGATACAGGAGATGGTGCTCACTGTAAATTTATGCACATCTAGGGCTGTCTCATAGAAGAGGTGAGGAGGAGAGCGTTGCTGGTTCAATTATCCTCTGACACCTCTGCTAACACCTCTCTGAGATGAACAGCTGCACTCTCCATTTCTCACAGCTATTGATCTGCAAACCCAGATAGATGTTGCTGCATCAATTGCACTCTGTCAACATGTTCAAAATATTATCTGCAACCTTAGCAGGTAAAGACTTACTTTAGAATGAAATGAGAGATAAGCTGCACTATTTTATACCTTCCTTGACATATTTTGTGAACAAGTAGGGCTCAGCTAGGCTTCTTTTTAAAATGTTTAGCTATTTTGTGCTGCTATTGTAATATTGCTAATGAATGTCCAGGATCCAGTACTATTTTTAAATCTGGTATCTCCTAATCACTTTGTAGAGCTCTCCTTGCACAGCTTATCCTGAAGGTCATGTCAGACCAGTCCTAAACCCAGGCTCTCCCAAGATGCACCCTTCATTATGCAAGAGTGGAGAGGGCGGTTGTTGCTCAGGAAGGACATTTGCAGCCTGAAGCTATCCAAAGTGGGGGGCAGAAAGATCTCCCTTGCTCCCTCTGCACGGTCTGTCCCCAGTCTTAGCCCACACAACCCCCTGTCTGTCGTGCTACCCACCTGTTCTCCCTGTGTTGCCTTTCTTTCCACCTCATCGTATGACTCCACATTTTCCCTTTAGCCTCCTCCTTGGGTCACATCCAGTGGCCATAAGCACTAAAATCCCACTGACTCCCACCACAGCAACCTCTGCAGTTTCTTATTGACATAATGGTGTGTGCCCCGTAATCTCCCTGTCTCCTGACCTGTCAGAGAGGAAAGCCCCATTTGCCAATGTACTATATTTCAAGTGAAAGATTTACAGAATCAGAGGGACTGTATCTTAGCAACCACCAATGCATTAAGAAAGCAGTTTAACAATTAAAAAATCTTCCACAAAGAGGCAACTGTCATGCACAAGACATAAAGCCCTTGAAGTGATTCACTGAGGGGGACACGACGACTTTATGCACATTGTAAGGGACTGAAAGAAGTAATGCTTCAAACATTAATCGACACAGAAAACCCTCAGGACAAGCTGTGGCCTTTGGATTGGTCTAAGGAATGTCACCCAAGGAAACAGGCTTATCAAAGAACGCACCCCCCACGCTCTTGCAGTGGCATTGACAAACTCCTTAGATAAACCTCAGCGAGGGTGACATGGACTAAACCAGGTGTTTCCCCTCAAGCATAAGTACCACTAAACC